AACAGGGTGCCTGTGCTACAATGGCTGTTAGGTCTGTGAGGTTACCATGACAAAAGCATGCCACAACAGCAGGGAGTGGTGTGATCTCAAAGTGAGAGCAGTATATTCTGATTCACTCAAAAGCAAGAAAGGAAGTATCCAGACTCACCTTGCTATCAGCTGTATGTTTAGTGACCAACTTCTGAGAAAACAATGCAAGTCCTGCTTCCTGCAGTAGTTCCTGGTCCTGTTCTGGAATTCCCGTATCTGACTGAATCCTGGCCTTCACACTCTGCAAAGTGTCTTCCTCTGTCACAGGGTAGGTGTGCACAGTTCCCGTAACCATGTTCAAAACATGAAGCAACTACGAGAGTAGCATGGCATGAGAAAGGCTGAAGATTTTGGTCATGTAGCAGAGCACAGATTGAGGGACTGAGACAATGACCACCAACAAACTGTTCAAAGCACTTGGCAGACTGAAGACTGCAGACTTTGCAGCTACTTCCCAACATTACAGCAATGTTCTTGTCCTCCATCAAGTAGGAGAGAAGCTACATGGCAATTAAATGGCTTCAGCTGTAGAATCCTCTATCAGAATATGGAACTAACCATGCAAAGAAACTATTCACTACTCCCAGCAAGCTCAGGGAGTATTTGTCCTCAAAGAAGCAAGAGAAAAGCACCTGTCACTAACTGCCAGGAGACAGTTCTACAAGCTTCTGCCTCATTCTTTCCTCCTGTCTATGGTTCAAGCCTCTCCTCTCATAGGCTACAGGCACATGCTCTCTGGAAAATTTTTCAGAGTAATACATACCCTATTGCTTACCTTCAAGTTCAAAATGTCATCCAAAGCTTTGAAACACCCATTGGGTCCGTATATAGGATCTGTACCTCTCTGACGTGGGTGCCACATTAACATGAGTTGCAGCCATTTCTCCAGCCTTCCAGACAAAACACTGAGCAGTAAAAAACAGATGAAGATCAGAAGACGTAAAAGTGCATTTGCAGCAACCATATCACCTGTTCTGTGTAGGTAAACTGACAAAACTCCCCCTCCTTCTCCCTCCAACACTCCATCTCTCCCCATCATAAATTCAGTGTTTAGAAGGCAGAAACCAAGACTACACAAGTCTGACAAGCAACAATAGTATGTCCTGGGGTGACAAGACATAGTACTGCCTGTGTCATGCACTCAGTTTACTCACAGATTAACACAGTAAGGCATATAATATAAACTTGGTCTTTTTGCAGAAGAATCAGTTTATCTCAGGACAGCAATTTCTAGTACTCACCTGTTTAGATTGTTTGGGCAGGGCAAACTGCTAGAAAACTTGACTTCTCCGGATAGGTCTTCTGAAACAACAATATCCAGCTCACTCTTCTGACGCACTTTTGTATGCCTAACGTAAGCAAGTACAATGGTGAAATAATTGCCTGCCTTTCCCAGCCTGCATGTTAGTAGGCTCTTAAAGCTACTCTTGACAGATATAATACAGATGCCACTTTGGTTTCTGTTATCTGCCCTGCAGGAGTCAGCCCTTATCCCATAGAGAAAGTATCAGGAATGCTGAACTTGCTCAGGTTTGTCAAACTCCTGTGAAGGGGGTCAGTTTCCATAAGGGCAAGGAACATAGGGATATTATCGTCAGAATCAAGGGACCACACTTCTACTTCCTGTAAAAGGGAAGGTCACATAATGCCCACTCATCACCCAACCACGGCTCACTCACCATTGCACTGGCTGCCAGTTGGGTAGGAAAGGTCGAAAGCCTGTAATGCACTCAAAGGCAAGCGTGCCAAAGCTCCAATAATCCACTGTCACCGTATACTTCTGTTGTTCCAGCAGCTCTGGAGCCTGATACAGTTTGCATACATGAGACAAAGCCACCCAGCTCTTAGCTTTCTCTATCCCTTAAAATCTCATTAACATTTGTACAAATGATTAAAGACATTACTGAATGCTGCCTCTCATGCACTTTAAGACCCTCCTGGAGTAAGCAGCATAGATTACTGGCACTCCTGCTTATTTATAACAGATGTAGGTAGCAGAAAACCCAATGTCAGCAGAAAAGCAGTCACCTTTGCAAGCTTCAGCATCACAAATGCACCCCATACCACGCAAGTACTTAATCCCAGCCCAAAGCTTGGTAACAGTTAATTCTATCCCACTAGAAAGCAGTAGCTGCCCTTCTAGCTGAATTCCTTTCTTACCAAGTACTGCAGAGTTCCAACAAAGGATGTGCATAGGCTACCCTGATCCAACTCCTTAGCATAACCAAGGTCAATGATTTTATGTATTAACTGAAACACACAAGAGAGAATAGGAACGCTAGACTGAAGTCCTGTTAAAAGCACCTCATACAGCAGAAAGAAAAGGTTCAGCTCTTCAAAGCTCTTATACAGGAAAGGTGCCAGTGAAGAGACAGAAGCAGAAACAGGAGGCTACTGTAGATTCCTAAAACCACAATGAATTTTAAGGTGTTGTAGCACACTTAGCAGTTATGCGTCTAGCTTGTTGCAATCTTTGGTCAATCAGTACAGCCTGGTTCTTTCCTTAGTAGTTGAAAGTCAAAATGTCAGGTGTTAACAGATGTCTATTACAATGTCTCATCTCAGCTGCACACAGAATATTATTCATCTGACACAGTAACCTGAGACAGGTGTTTTCCTGAGCTGAGTATTCTTGCAGAGGGACCATGTTGTCTGTGCAGGTAGAGACAACTGCTTCCTGCTTACCCTTTGCTCTCCTTGCTGCAGCACAATGTTCTCTGGTTTCAAGTCTCTGTGGATGATCCTGTTCTCATGAAGGTATCTGAGAGCAGAAGCTGAGACACAGAAAAAGCTAGTTGTAAGAGCATAAGTAACAGTACCTAGCACAAGCTCAGTAAGGATTCAGTTCTATCTAGTAATAAGCATGGCCTTCACATTGAACCTTGTACAGTCAAACATAGAATGAAACAATAAGTGTAAGGGGTAAAGTCAGCATCATAGAACTCCGGACACAAACTGCATTCTCACTCTGGGTGCTCCCTCACATCCTTCCTGTAAACTGTAGTAATGCTGGCTAGCTTCCAGTAGGCAAGGACCTCCCCAGACTCCCAGCACTTTTGGTAGATGAACAAGATGATAAAACGTCAGTCTAAAATGAAGTCACTAGGGTCACTGCTGTATATTTGGAGAGTGGATTCAGGACTAAAAGGGTTTCTCCATAGCTCAGACAACTGAAGGTACTGCTACCACTTACCAATGTCAGATAACAAGATAAGAATAGCTTCTTCCCGCAAGCCACAGCAATTCTCCAGTTGATTCAGGTACTGCAAGTAAGCAACACAGAATGTAGTCTTTCCTTCCTCTATCCTGTGTGAGGCCCACAGTTCCACATATTCTCAAAGATGCAAGAAGTTTCAGCAACAGCAATTAAGTTCTCCAGAAGCACAAAACTCTATGGGCTGTGACCTGTGGTAGCAGCAATTACAGCTTCATGCCTTGGTTTAATTGCATGGGAGGATAATGGAGCAGATGAAAGAAGTCACTGTCATCCCATTCTCACCCTTCTATTTGTTCCATCCCTTTGTCATGTCCCCTGTGTCTGACAGTATCAACTCCAATCTGAGGCCTAAGGTCTGTGTTTTACCTATGGGCAGATTATAGCAAAGGTCAGAAAAGCCTCAGGATTAGAACTATCATGTGTTATTTCTTCCTATGACAAACAGGAGTTAATCACTTTCAGGAAGGGTACAGCCTGCAGATGCCTCCACCGTACAGTGGTCTTGGCCAAACTCACATACTGTTGCACATCCCTTACATTTGCCCTCATTCTTTATGTGCAAACTCCTCACAGTGTCACTTGCATCCAAAACAATACAAGTAGTTTCACAAAGCACTTAAGTCTTCAAAAGCCGAATGTAGTATGAAGGACAAAGCCACCAACACCTGTTGAAGCCATGACTAGAATTAGGAACTATCAGGACATCTAAGCAAAGGTTTTAAGGGAAAACTTCAGTGGAAAACATGGGATCAGATTAGAAGCTGATCCATTCCTTGGCTACCACCTTAGGGACCTCACCTTTCGGAGGTCTCCACCTTGGCAGTACTCCATGGCCAACAATGGCAAGTCATTTGGTGCTAGCTTCTGCATCCCTTCAGGGACATCACGGGCAGCCACCACATTGGGATGGTTCAGTCTGTGGAACAAAAATTAGGCGACAGAACACATGATGTTCTGCAACTGCTATACAGTTTCATATGCTCATGGTCACCACTCAAAGTCCTACATAGTCACAAATCCTTTTAGAAACTGAATTAGGGAATTCTAAAGGTTTGCATCTTTCACGTATCTAGATTCATTCCAACTCCTGGCATTTCACATGCAAGACTGTGTTTCTTCAATGCACCTACGCGCTACGGATCTGTCTAGAAGGTACAGCAACAAGCCTTGCAAAGGAGTGCAAGGCAGTCTGTTGCCACCGTCCAGAAAAGACCCAAACTACAATCAGACCGCTACACCCGAAAATGTTAATCCGACACCCCACGGGACTGCCCCAGCACAGACGTTAAGTCAGGCAAAGCAGCGGCTAGGTAGCCGTACTGTAGCGCTAAGGGCACGGCAGACGACTCGAAGACGGCAGTGTGAGACCCAAGATTCTGACGCATCACAACGTGAAGTTTTCTTACGCGTGACTTTCCACGCATCTGCCGCCGCAGTGGAATGGGCACCTCCCGAAAGGGCAACCCTTGGCGGCCGGCGGCCGAAAGCTTCTCCCACCATTTCCCTCAGCGCATCCGTCAGATCGGCGCTCCAGGGCCGTCTCCGCCACGCGTCCCGAGGCACGGACACCACACAGCGCAGCGACCCCTCCGCCCGGCCCGGCCGCAAGCAGGCACCGGGCTCGGTCCGGCAGCACCGCCGCTCAGCCTCAC